TCTTCATGAAGGATTGCCTTGTAATTGTTTTTATGGCTGAAAGTAGACATACACTTAAGATGGAGTGATAATTACCACTTGGTGAAAAAAGCTCAGTTTCCAGTTTCAAGGAGAAAGAAAAGGAAGGGCTACATACAATTGGGTGTAACAGGTTCATGCTGATGTCTCTAGCTAAGCCATGAGTCTCAGTCCATCATAAACTATGGACATTATCATTTCCTACTCACAATTTTGTTGAGTTGGCTTCTCTTCTAGGAAAAAAGGAGTTAAAAAGGCAAATATGTTTCTTTGGGTGGTTCTTGCAAAGCACTTTCTGGCTGTGTGAACACAGGAAACTATGGGAAAATAGCTTTTGGACAAGGAACAAGAATTATTGTAAAACCAAGTAAGTGAAGATGGATAATTAGATAACTACACTTATGTATTCTTTTTTTCTAAATATTTAAATTTGTTGGATTTGCCTAAATATTTAATTTGTTAGGAAATCTTATCTCTGTTCTCCTGAGTGTCCATAAGACTGAAAAACTTTTCATTCTTGGCTTTTCATAACCCTTCTCAAATGTCCTGTGATACCAGGACAGTGGCATGGAATGATTCACGCAAATCTATTTTTCTTCTTTTAGAATTGATATATTGACACAATAATGGTTGCAGAGAAATATTGCTATACTAAATACTATCTTTTTGTACCCATGATTTACCTTAAATGGGAAAAAAAAGTGAAATAGAAAGCTTGATTGCTTTTACAGACCCAAAATATATACTGAAATGAGCAGAAAATATTAAATACTGCCATGTATGATAAGATTTAGTTTAGGGAAATTTTTAGCAGCAGAAATAAATTGCTGTGGATACCAGCAGCAGCAGAGCAAGACATTTTGCTTCACATTGGCTTCCAGCGTGGAACAGAGTCCACAGAATCTGCTCAGTTCCTCTGCAGTGCTTTCTATAAAGACCTTTGTCACCGTGTGTCTGCTGGTGACTGGAAGGTCACTTTTGGTGGAGGAACTCATCTGCTTGTGCTTCCAAGTAAGTCTTCCAGGAAAAGCAGTGTTTCAGCATTTGTTTTCACTCAAGAATGGAGTTTTGTCACATGCCAGTGCCAGTGAGATCCCATTCCATGCTACTCCAGAGTACTCGGCAGAGCTGGATGCAGAAATGTTCTTGTGCTCTGCTAGCAGAGATCCTCTCCCAGATCCAGCTGGGATGGTGAATTCAGGTTCCTCCTGGAGCCTCACAGGAACTCACCCAAGTGACACCACAATGTGGAGTTTAATTCAGCTACAGACTTGGTTTGATGCAGATCTTACTCAGGATGCAGTGAGTGATGTGTGCCCTGACTGGGTGCAGGAAGGAGAATTACATGGGGTTGCATTAATGAAATCTTCACTACTGCATTTCTGAAAACCTCCCCTAAGCAATTCATCCACTTAAAAATGTGTAAAACAACTCAGGCTATGCAAGGAAGAGTTGAAATGGGCATATCCATCACAAAAACTCATTAGGACGATGGGCAATTACCTGACTGCAAGGGCAAGTTCTCTTTCTCATCTTTATTTTTCTGTCACTGTTGAGTCAGGAATAGAAAATAAATGACACAGACTCTAGGTCAGAAGGCTAAGGGGCAAGAAGACCCAAGTTTATTGGAACCCCTTCTTTTATACACTCTTCCCATAGAGATGGACCTGATTGGTCATTTAATCAGCACATTTCACATGGTTGGCTAATTAAGAAGGCACCTTTGTTGAACATCTTAGGAGAAAAGCAACTTGTTATAAACACCACATACAGATTTTTTAACATTTGCTTAGAATTCTTCCTCTCTGCCTCCCTAAAACTTCCCAGACNGGTCAGAACTGCTGCATTGTTTGGGCAAGTTCAACAATCAATATGGAATTAGAAGGCATTAGACTTCCAATCTGAAATGATCTAATCCTCCCTCTGGGGCTCAGATATTGGAGCTAATGTAAAGTCATCTCATTCTGCCAGGCTGAATGACTTTGTTGACCATTGAATATTTGGGATCAAATGGGCACTTGGGAGGCAGATATACCTAAGAAACAGAAATCAGTAAAGTCCATTTAACTTTCTTTTCACTTCCTAGAAAGAAATCAGAACAAACCTTTGTTCATATGGAAATCTCCAATTTGCAGTCAAAATTTAAACAAAATACCTGAGAAAGAAAGGAAGAACACCAATCCAGACAGCATTTCCCATAACACTTTTGTGTACATCTGACTGGTTGGTTCTGGGAATTTTTCCATTTTGACCTGTGAATGGCCCAGCTTTTTCTTTATAGGCAGGTCCTGTGGCTCACCAGCGTGCTTTTAGCTGAGTTCAAGCTTCAGAGATGACTTTTGTAGAGAAGCCTCAGGCAGTGCAGCTGCAGGAGGGAGAAAGCAAATGTTTGGACAGGGTCACAGATATTTGTGACAAGTGTAGCCTGGTTTAGGAAGCAGATTTTTTTTCCTGTTTACCTTGCTACCCTGTCAGATATTTTGCAAA